TCTATCTATCTATCTATCTATCTATCTATCTATCTATCTATCTATCTTCTATCTATCTATTTTTGAGACTGGCTCTCTCCATGTATCTCTGGCTGTCCTGGAACTCGCTGGGTGACTAGGGTGGCCTTGAGCTTTTGGGATTTGCCTGCCTCTGCTTCCAGAGTGCTGGCATTAAAGCACAGCTGCCTTTAATTACTGTTTGTTTTGTTTGCTTGGTTCTTTGAGACGATCTTGTAATATAGTCTAGAATTGTTTTGAGTTTGTCCCGCCTCTGCTTCCTGAGTGCTCTTACTTCCATAACAAAGATTCTGGTACCTAGAGGCATAAGGACACTGGCTCATGTCAAGAGCTGATATAGCATCAGAATTCACAGCTCTGTCCACCAACAAAACACACACATATGTGATATCAGAATAGCAGGGCAATCCCAGTGAGTTAATGCTCAGCAACCCCCAATGGAAACCACTGACCTCCACTATCAGTAAGTTGACCACACCAAGCGAGACAGGCAGAATCCAGGTGTAATCCACTGCCGTGAGATCAGGAAACCACAGTGTCCCGCCAGCAGCTAACTGCTCCTGAACAGAAACACCTGCTGAAACAGTTGATACACAAAACAACACGATTCCTAAGAACAGCTGAAGGCATCAGAAACACAGAAGCAGGAGCGGCCCAACAATCCCAGAGTGCCTCACTCTGAACGTTTGCACTGGTTTTATTCAAGCTATTTATAGTGGCTATTTTCTGCTTTGTTTCATTCTCTTAAGTTTTTGTTCTCAACAGATTGTCTTACACTTCAGACTCTGAATTCTGTAATGTAAGGAAGACAGTAAATGGCAGTTATGAAAATTAGAATTGCTTTTTTAATGATGCAATATTAAAGAATTTGGGATGAGGATTTCCGTAATAGTTACCTTCTGAATGTGTGGCCCCTGTGCTAAGGTTGCGGAGGGCAACAGATATGAAGATCCACATTGGAAGCTGGACCCAGACCAACACCGTGGCTTTGAAAGGATGGCAGTTGTCACGGACATACAGCTCTGAAACAAGTCTCTGCATGTTCCTTAGATAAGTGAGCCTACAGTGAAGGTGGAAAGAGGAAAGGACATCGCGTCAGGAGCAGGAACTTCACCCTGCAGCACAAACACAGCCGTTTGTAGTGAATGCTGAAGGGTTGAGCAGGGGTTTCATCTACCCTGAGCACTAAGGGCCAGGCCACTGAACAGACGGCACACAGCCTTTTACTGTGAGACTACAGCGTCATTCTCTAATGATCTCTAGCTAATAAGATTTTTACGGAAGATTTTACTTCATATTCTCTAGTTGTGCGCAGGCTCACAAGTACATGCGCAGGGGCCATCAATGTGGGTACTGGGAATCAAACTAGGGTCCTCCGGAAGAAGACGTGAGCCACTGAGCCATCTCCCAACCACTGCCAGGAATACTTTAGGGGTGAAATCTTCCCAGCTGTGGTGGCACACACCCACACTCCCAGTCCCTAGGAGATGAAGGTGAGGGGTATTCAAAGCTTGAGGTCAGGCTCCGGCTACACAAACAGTTTAGAAAGGCAAACCTGAGCTACCTCATGAATTCCTGTCTCAAAATTAAACAAAATAGAAAGTGGGATTTCAAGACCAACAAAGTAGAACACAATTTTAACTACAAAAGCATGTTTTACTTAACTCTGTGTTCCAGACAAACATCACGCGTCCTCTTAAAGTATCTCTCCTGTTCTATGGGTTCCTGCACGCTTAGTCTTTGACTATCAAATCGCTTCCATTTATTCAATCAACTTTTCAACAAAGTTTACACTAATCTGTTCACCTTTCTTTCTTTTCTTTAAAGGTAGAGTCTCACTGTGTAGCCCTGACTGGCCTAGTATGCATTATATACCAAGCTGGCCTAAAATTCAGAGCTCTGCTTGCCTCTGCTGCCCAAGTGCAGGGTTTAAAAGTACAAACCATCATATCTAGCTCAGTTACTTCTGCTTTTTGTTTGTTCATCTGTTTGTTTGTTTGTTTTTGGTTTTTTTTGAGACATGTCCTCACAGTTCCAGGTGACCTTGAACTCAATGTAACCCAAGGATACTTTGAGCCTCTGGTCCTCCAATGTACCAGAATTATGGGCCAGCAACACCATTCTTGACTGTCCCTTCTGACTGTAAGTCTTACTTTCTAGACCATGGTCTCGAGGGATGGTTGATTATTGGTTTTATGAGGCAGAGAGAGTAGTACTAGCCCAGGCTAGCCTCCAAGTCACAAGCCTCCTACATGTGTACCATTAACCTTGCTCAGTTCCTTACTTATCTTTAAATCTCTTATATCACAAACATTTAGTACCTGGTAGGCCTTTAACTGATGTGCTGAATTTAATCAATCTGTAGTGTGCTGAACTAGGACAGTACACACAGATATTCTAGGTCCTTTTATTCTTCTAATTTTTCTGTACTTTATTTCTCTATATAAACCTACAAATTCCAGGTCTTGAAAATTCTAAGTCATCCAAGGAAATGGAGCCCCAACATGAGCCTATCTGTGGAAATTCCTGGGAATCACCCGTCAGCACAGGATAGTTCTAGACAACCACGGCACTGGTGGAGCAGAGGCAAGGCACCAGGAATCTCACCTCACCAAGCTGTTTACAACCCCTATCAACAGCCATTCCCCTGCTCTTCCCGCCCATGGCTGTAGCTCTCAGATTCCTCTTCATAAAGCATCAAAACTTCAGATGGTAAGTGTATCTATATTTAACAAATAAAGCTTTGTTTCATGCAATAATACACTTTCTCCTCCCCTGACTCTGAGACAGGGTCTCTGCCTATAGCCTGGATGGTCTGGAACTCAAGAGATACACCTGCCTCTGCCTCTACAGTGCTGGGATTAATGGCTTGCCTCACTAGTGTAGCTACAATGTTTCCCTACCTATCAAGTATTCTTTGCTGTTAAGATTTATTTCACTGTTTTATATGTCTGAGTGGTTTGCTTGCATGTATTTAATTGCAGCACATGCATGCCTGATGGCCTCAAAGGTCAGAAGAAGATGTTAGATACTCTGGGACTGGAGCTACCAAGAGCTGTTAGCCATCATATGAGTATTGGGAATTGAACCTGGGTCTTTGTCCTTTAGGCCAGGCATGCCTTTAATCCCACCACTCAAAAGGCAAAGGCAGGCACATCTCTGAGTTCAAGCCTAGTCTCATCTACAAAGCGAGTTCCAGGACAGCCCAGACTACACAGAGAAAGCCTGTCTCAGATTAAAACAATAAGAACAAGTGCTCTTAACTGCTGAGCCAACTCAGCACACTGTCAAGTTTTCTTATTAACAACAAATCAGATGATAATGTTCACATTAAATATAGCTTGCCAGGCATGGTGACACTTCATTGTACCGACAACACCTGGAAGGCAGGAAGACTGCTAGCCCAAGGCCAGCCTGAACTGTCAAAACATTCCCCCCGACACTTACCCCCCACCACCACAAAACCCCCACCAAGAATGGGAGGAGGGGAGGATATCAGAGCTGATACAGTCGGACAACATGGGACAAGGCTACAAAGCAAACATATAACTAGTCCCTCGACTGTCATATGACTTACATCAGATCATAACACAGCATTTAATTTACTGCCATCTTTATCTGATCATGGCTCTCTTCTCAGTGGGTCCTCCAGAACAGAGGCCAGGTGGTAGCACACATTTGTAATCCAAGCACTTGGGAAGTGGGGGGAGGAGGATTAGGAGTTCAAAGTCATTCCTAGCTCTAGTTACCTAAAGGGCACCCTGGTACACATGAAACCCTATCACATTAGATATATAGAAGAGTTTGCACCTGTATTCCCAGTTCGGGGAGGCTGAGATGGGAGGCCCACGCAAGTTCTCGGGAGTTAAGATGAAGTCTGTTTTTTTTTTTTTTTTGTTATATGCTTCCATTCCAATACATACACAACCATGCTATGTAGTGATTTATTAATATGCATGAGGCGATCAAGAGGATACCTAAACCTGTATTTATTATATATATGTACATATATATATATATATATATATAATATATGCACATATAATATATATTATTTTCTTTTAACGGTTACAGACACAAAACTGCATACCTGGCAACTCTCTTGGACCAACCAAACTGATGTGCACAAACTGCAACTTCTTGATTAAGGCGCTTGGCGATGTCTTTTATTTCTGGTTGCAAGTTTTCCACCTAACTAAAGAAAAAAGTTATTTTTATGAGCACATATAGGACCTTTATTGCTAAACACTGCTATAGTTGGCACCAGGTGTCAACTTGGCACCTCCAAAAGATAGGACGTCAAGTAAGAAATTTCATCCAGCAGGGAGCCATAGGAAAGAGTGGGGGTTGAAGGACCTGGAGGGGACAAGAGTTCCATAAGAAAACCAATAGACAACATATCTGGGCCCAGGGGGCCTGCAGAATCTGCTGCACCAACCAAGGACCATGCATGAAGAAGACCCAGAACCCCTGCTCAGAGGAAACCAATAGGCAGCTCAGTCTTCTCGTGGATTCCTTGGTAGGGGGAGCAGGGGCTGTTTCTGACATGGACTCTGTTGCCCACTCTTTGATAGCTTCCCCCGGGGGTTGGGGGTGGCCTTGTCAGGCCAGAGAGGAAGAGGATGTAGGCAGTCCTAATGAGACTTGATAAGATGGTGTCGGATGGAAGGGGAGGAGGTCCCCCCCATTTCTGAGGACCAGGGGAAGGGGATAAGGGCAGAAGAGGGAGGGTGGGACTGGGAGGAGACAAAAGAGGGGGCTAAAATCGGATGTAAAGTGAATAAATTAAATGAAATAAAAAATAAAAGATATTTCATCCAGCTGGGCAGGGTTATGCACATCTACAAGCCCTGCACTCAGGGGAGACAGAGGCAGGTGGATCTCTGTCAGTTTGAGGCCAGCCTGGTCTACAAAACAAGAAAAGGACCAGTGGATCTTTGTGAGTTTTTAGGCCAGCCTGCAAAGCAAGACCAGGACCAGAGGACCAGGACAGAGAAACTCAGTAAGAGAAACCCAGTAAGTAAGGTAAGTAAGTAAGGTAGGTAGGGAAGAAAGGGAAGAAAGGAAAAAAGGAAGGAGGGAGGGAGGAAGAAAGAAAGGAATAAACACCATCCATCAAATTAAGCTATGGAGCATGGAGCATTTTTTTAGCATTATGGAGCTAACTGATAGAAGACCCCAGGCCACTGTGGGCCACCAGCCCTAGGCATGTGAGTCTGAGCTATATAAAGAGTTAGCTGAAGCTGGGCATGGTAGTGCATGCCTTTAGTCCCAGGAGGCAGAGGCAGGCTCATCTCTGAGTTTGAGGTCTGCCTGGTCTGAGAGTTCAGGATAGCCAGGGCCACACAGAGAGACCCTGTCTCGAAAACAACAAAATGTTAGTTGAACAAGCCAGGAAACAGTGTTCCTCCATGGTTTCTGCTTCAGGTGCTGCCCTGTTGTGCTTCCATGCAGGACTATATAACCTGTAAACCATGCAACCCCTTTCCTCTCCCACCCTGTATTTGGTCAGGGCAATCAAACTCATAGTTATCACATATTTAAATTCCAGCTTATACACCTACCTGTATCTGCGCAACCAAACTGTTTTACATAAACTGCAACTTCTTGGTCAAAGGGTGCTTGGTGACATTTTCTATTTCTGGCTCTACATAACCTCCGAAATCCTGATTCCCAGGATGTAGGAAAGAAACAGCTACTTCACAGAATTTTGAGGACTAAATAAAAGCTGCATGCAATTTACTGTTCCATCCTTAGATTTCCCAGTATAGAGAAAACAGCACCCCACTCGTTAACACCTCGCACTGACTTATTTCCGACTCCCACGATGTTGCCGCTTCCCTTTCCTCTGTTAGTACTTTAACTCGTGTTGATTTAACCTCACCACACTAAGTAGCCATCGAAAGGTAATGCTATACCGATTCCACAGACAAGGAGGCCCCAAAAGGCCACGTCAAAGTCGCAACTCATCAGATAGTCATAGGTGGTAGGACCACAGTGAGAATCCGAGTCGTCAAACTGTCAGCTTAGTGATAGCCCTTCTAATAATAAGGAGCTGTAAGAATAGTTAGGGACAAATAATGCAGCAGACACATGCTGATAAAAACGTTTATGTCCCTAATGCTAAGGTTCTTCTCGGCCATTTCTTCTGTAGACTGGTCTCCACCAAAAGCTTAGGAGGCGCTTGTATTACTAATAAAGACCCGGTAGGTCCGATGAGCTGGAAGGTACTTGTCACCAAATGATTTTAACACATGTAATGCTAATTAAACTATTTTAGCAAAGACTCAGACCCGACGGTTAACCCTAGCAGGCAGGCAGCACGGGGAGCGACGCCCCTCACCTTAGCCAGGATGTAGTGCTGATAGGCGGCCAGCGGCAGCGTGACAGCACCGCGCAGGGCAACGGTGCTGAGCACGATGCTGCCCCACCAGGGGAGGCCCGTGGCCTCGTGAGCGCCCAGCAGCACTTCCTCCGCCGCGCGCACCGGCGCCGACGAGGCCAGGGCCTCATACCAGCCGCCGGGAGAGGCCGCCGACACTGATGCGGCCGCCCATAGCGGCAGAGCCGGGAGCCGCGCGCTGCTCCAGCCCGGGGGCGATCCCAGTGCCCGGGGCCGCAGGGCGGGAAGGGACCGGAGACACCAGGCACCCGAGCGGCACAGCATCGCGACCCCAGGCCAGCAGCGGGTTAGCATGGGCGCGCAGAGGCTCGGGCGCATGCGCAGACCCGCGGCCAGGCCAGGCCTTCGCAGCCAATGCGGTGCAGCCTAGCGTCGCGCAGTGATGACGTGAGCGCCGCCTTTCCCACGCGGCACGGACCGGGCAGCTTGCGGAACGCTCGGGACTGCTTCCCTTGGTGGGGCGGAGCGTGGAGCGCTCGGAACCGGAACTGCAGGGTTAGGCGGGGCGAGCGAACTGCCTTGCTGTTGAGTTTCAGTTTCCACCGAATTGTCACTTGTGCACTTCCTGTGACCCGGCTGCTTCCGCGTGGACGCGCTGAGCGTCTGACTCTAAGCACTGCTGAAGAAACACCTACTTTGGGAGTAATGGGTGTTTTCGGTTCGCGCAGCGTTAGTCTGTCCACGTTATATAAAGGGTGTAAGATTGTTTTACCTGTGCAGGTTACCATTCGGTATTACTTTTAAACATGAGAATGCACAATGCCCGGCGTGGTGGCACAAGCCGTAAGCCCCCGCCAGCACTCAGGAGGAAGAGGCAGGGATAGCTCCTGTGTGCTAGAGGCCTGCCTGGTCTGCGATGAGCCCCAGGCCAGCGAGGACTGATCACCTGATGAGTCTCTGAAAACGGTCACCATCGTGGTCATAATAAAAAGCGGGAAATAGAGTTCTTTACTCCTTTTCATTTTAAAAAGTGAATTACGATTAGCAGCACAACTTTGCCTCAACACTGTCTTCCGGAATGGAATGCACGGGGTCTACACGGACTGCCTGTTTTTGTTTTGTGTTCCCGCTACAGCGACTAACTGGGATGACAGTTTTCTTACGGATGCACCCACTCACTCTTAGAGAAGGCCAAAGCTAATTTTGAGTGTTTAGAAACCTGTCCAGTGTTTGGTAAAGCCAAACTGTAGAAATTATCCCCTACTTTACTGCACACCTACCAAAGGAATCAGATAACTTATTTCCTGGAACTTGGGTCCCCTGCCTTCAAAACCAACCATGATCTATGTAAGAAAATTTAATGGCCTCACAGTGGTGGCAAACGCCTTTAATCCCAACACTCGGGAAGCAGAGGCAGGAGGATCTCTGTGAGTTCGAGAGTGGCCTGGTCTACAAAGCCAGTCCAGGACAGTCAGAACTCCATTACACAGAGAAACCCTGTCTCGAAAAACCAACCAAACAAAACAGGTAACATCCAGTTGACCCTTCCAAAGAGGCCTTATGTCAGAGAAGTTATGTAAAAATGACACAACTCACTCAAGACCCAACTTACCATGAGGGTCAAGCATTAATCCTCAACCAATCCTCAACACGGGGAAAATAAGCAAATCCACAGCTATTTATATTAAGCCTAAACAACCCTTACTCTATGTGTAAATTAGCATGTTAGATTTACTTTTCGCAACCCTAAACCAAAACTTTCAAGCAGTTATTAGAATCTTTAAAACTTTTAACTCTAGCTCGTTACCTGACACCCTCTTCTGACATCTGTGAGCACCCACATTCACATGCCAAAATTATAGATATAAATCAATTAAAAACCGCCAAGCAGTGATGGCACATGGCTATAACCCCAGCACTGGGGCACTGGTGGGCAATCTCGAAGTTTGATGCTATGCAGCCTGCTCTACAAAGTGAGTTCCAGGACAGCCATGGCTACACAGAGAAAACCGTCTCAAAAACAAAAAAACCTGATATAATGTAAACTATACTTTATGGTAAATGCATAAGCATACTTTTTACGTTCTTATTATTAATGTGCATGATTTGTCTAGCTCGTGGAGTCAGTCCTCTCCATCCACTTTTACCCAGGTCACATGTGTGCTGCAATACCTTTCTGCACTGAGTCATCTGGCAGACCCTAACTTTGCTTTTAAAGCTTTTTAAACTGACATGAACCATGTGCAAAGTGAAAGGGGCAAACTCACGTGGGATCACAGGGACAGCTTGAAGGAGCTGTTCTTTGCATTGATGGATTGGACTAAGGTTGTTAGACACGACTTTAAGCCACCCCCCCCCCAACACACACACACACACACAACCCCCAGATGTGTTTCAGTGTAGCACAGGCTATCGAGAACTTAACATATAACCCAGGCTGACTTTGTACTCTGAGCAATCCTCATGCACTAGTAAGTACCAGAGACAAAAGCAGGAGGATCAGAATTCAAGGACAAGTTTCATCAGAGATGCCTCTCAAAAGAGTTAAAAATATGAGTGGCCACAGCTTGCAATAACCCCCTGAAAACTCCCGAGACAAAGCATGTTTGCAATTATTTAAAGACTTTAGCATTTCATGTGCATTCTACGTGTGCCGCACCACCTGCACATCTGTGCCCTCAAGGTCAGAAGAGGGCATCAGATTCCCTGGAACTAGACTTAGAAAATCAAGTCAATGTCCTCTGCAAGAGAACAAAAACCCTGACCCAATTCTTAATCCAGTCAGAATCTGGCAAATGCTAGAGAAGTGTCTGCAAATCTTGAATTTCAATGCAATAGTATGTTATCACTAATGTGTATGACATCTGTCATCGTGAAATGTTATAATGTTGTAAATGCACATTATAGTATAAAATGACATGTATTTGAACAAGCAAATTTAATCACATCAATCCCAGAAAGGCAAATTAACTCTTGTGAAACACATTAAAATACTTATATAAAAAAATTCAGTATTTGTAATCAACTTATTCAATTTTACTATGTCTCAGACAACTAATTTCATTTTTCTCAACTTCTGAGTTCCTTGAAGAGGTACATCCAGGGGGACTGGAGAGATGGCCTCGAGGTCAAGTTTATTGTCCAGTACCCACATCAGACAACTCACAACAACCTGGGAACTCTAGGAAGACCCTCTTTAGGCCTCAGAAACCTACACAATAAATCAATCTCAACAACCCCTACCCCCAAATTAATTTTTCCCCCCTAAGAAACCACGAGGTATGTTTTGAGGGTACCTACTGAGTTCCAGCCTAGTCTGTGAATGGCAAGATTTTGTCTTAGAAAGAAGGGGGATGGAGGCAGGTTTAAAATGGCACAAATCCATGCCAGCACACAAGAAGCAAGGGCTGGAGACTGCTACAAGTGGGAGATCACCCTAGGGCTACAAAGCAAGCTCAAGGACTCCATAAGAAAACTGACAAGTCGATGGTTCTAATCCTTTTTATAACTTATGATGGTGTGAAAGAAAGTAGTACCAGTTCAGTAGAAATCCAGTGCTCAGTAGGCAGAGGCAAGATCCAGTGTTCAAGGCCAACCTTAGCTACAAAGCTTAAGTGCTGGGATTGCGAGCATCACAGGCCTGTCCCCAACACCTCCAGTTTATTCAGTTAACCAGCTCAACACATTCTAGACAAACATTTTACTAATCACTCAACCTAAGACACTACGCAAAATGCCATTATAGTTGTCATTTAGAGTGCTTATTTTCCAAGTAAGATTTCTAAAATGTTTTGGGGGGGGAGAATATATATATATATGATTTTTTTTTTTTTGGTGGTGGTGTTTTTTTTTTTTTTTTTTTTTGAGACAAAGTTTCTCTGTGTAGCTCTAGCTGTACTGGAACTCACTCTGTAGACCAGGCTGGCCTTGCACTCACACAGAGATCCGTCTGTCTCCTTGAATGCTGGAATCAAAGGCATGCACCACCATGCCTGGAGGTGAATTATTATGAGAACTTACTAAAAATAACCCCTTCGAGTCGATTTAGGCATATTTTTCTTTTGGGGAAGAGGAGCAGAGGTGGAGACAGGGTCTTGCTTTGTAACCCTCTCTGGCCTGGAACTAGTCCAGGCTGGCCTCAAAATAGAGATCCACCTGCCTCTATCTCCCAGCACTGGTGCTGGGATCAAAGGCATCAGCAAAGGTTCTGTGTAGTCCAGGCTATCAAGGAACTCACTCACTCACTCTGTAGGCCAGACTGACCTTGAACTCAGGAGATCCACCTGCCTCTGCTCCAGGGTGCCGGTAGTCAACGCGTGCACCGCCACAGCCAGCTGCTCAGTCACTTAAAAAGGCTCACTATGTAGTTTGTAGAGATAATCACATACTTCAAAAAGAAAAAAACCTGCATGGTCTCAAAAACTATTCTTTTTATTGTTTAAATAAAAATTCTCTACGTTACATCTGAAGTATAAAAATGTATTTGAGAAATGTTCCTAGTACACACTTCCAGGACTCTTAGAACCACCTAGTGCTGTCCTTTATAAATAAACCTGACCTCTAAGTGTAGAGATAAAGAGCTCCAATCTATTTCCTTTCTCTTGTTAAAATCAAGAAAAGGTCAAGTTTTCCACCCCTGCTGCCTGTGGGGAACACAACCACTCACATTCGGCAGCACAGGCTGAGAAGTGTCTATTCTCCAATGGGATCATTTTATGCAGAAAATAACGAGTTATCTCAGGAAAGAATTGTGGGAGAGGAAAAGACAGAACCATGACAAAACTCAATACAAAATGTTCACATCACACACTTTTGTTGCTGTTGGTTTCTTTGTGTAAAGCGCTAGAGTTTTTAAGTCATGGCTCTATTTGTAGGCTATTTTCCTCCTAATTCGGGTGTATCAATCTTAGTTGGAAAACCTAATGTATATACTTATGATCCAAACAGCTGGGTAGGTTTGAGAAAACGTCCTATACTCCTTCCTCAGGTCACTAGAGGCAGGAAACCATCTCATATAGTTTGACAACCAATGACTGTTATTATCAACTCTAGGCAGTGTATCTAAGCTTTAATTCATGTTTGTGACATCCATGCCTAATTAAAAACCAAACTGTCAGTATTTCAACCATGTGAGTTACTTTTCCATAGGAGACAGGGCAGGACACATATTCTTCTTGTATACATTATTGTTTATTGTTTCAAGTGGATGGAATATATAATTCCCACTGAGTAGTTTAGTGTGGCCCTGAATCACATATAAACAGGTTAAATGGAGACTTTAATTTATAATCCGTGTATTCATGTATTGACCATAAATCGTCTTAAAAACAATCCCAAACACTCCTTTTTGACTTGGCCCAAGTTAGCTGTTCATC